GGGAAGCCCCATAATTAATTTGGCCTATTTCAAAGACAAATGACAGTACAAAAATAACCTACAAAAACAATTTGGATTATGACCGGCATTTTAAGAGAAAGACTACCTTCACCTCAGAATCTTGGGCGCCCGCCTGTAAGCTCTGAGGGAGAGGGTACCCCCATAATTTGGCCATTTAAGTAAAAAACAAGTAACACTAAAAAGATAACCTGTAATAATAAGTTTTGGATTATGATTGACACTTCGAGGAGACTAAAATGACTGATATAGAAACCATATCTATCTGTGACGTTGATTATACAGATCGATCAAGCGAACACGAAGATGTTGAAGTGGAAGAATATCTGGAGTAATCCAGCGTCTTGTGCTCCTGCCAGGGAATAAAATTTTGGCGTGATTTCGACAGTGCTTGGCTGGCTTTTGGGAGAGTGATTTGTCACTAGAGGCACATCGATACTTACATCGTCTTAAGCCAGAAAAAAAAGACTTGAATCCTTGGTCGTTTGATCAAAAAGGTCGTCCATTGAATCAGATGATCGGTCTTGCTGTTCCTCAAGGAGATGTGAAGTAGAGCTCGAGCTCTCGACTTCGTTTACACCGGCGGCTATAAAAGCTGCTTTGTTGACGGCCTTTCTCAAACGTCAAATAGAGAAGATTTAAAAATTTCTCTGGTCAGGGTCTTTTCCACGCAGAGTTCCTACCAAACCGGAGAAAGATGTGCCAGCAGAGAGTGTATTTCTACTTGTGGCTCCTCGGTAAAAACTTGATAAGCCGACTGGCCGTTTTCGCTTCGAAGGTCACCAATGTTGACGCGGCATACTACTCTTGAAAGAAGTTAAATAAAGCATCGGAGCACTATTTTCTTAAAAGGAAGCACTTGAAAAACCATTGAAAGCGTATCAAGCCTATTTGATTCCAAATGCGGCGAGAAAACTGTAGTTATCAATTGCGAAGCCAGCCGGGAATATCGACTTCCAAATTTTCAATCGACCGTGAAAGTAATTTATAATACCCAAATAGTCTGGTCAAATTTCGCGTTTCCTTGAGATGTATGGTTCGTTTAATCAGAAGTACAAAGTTCCTTGACAGGCAATGTGTCCTGCTCTCTCTCTAAAGGTGTCTGGAGGAATGCATAAAACTTATTACGAAAGTAACGCTTGTCTGTTATTGGAAACCGATCTGCGGTGGTTACTGGGGAGATTAGGCCTCCTTGGGCGCGCACTAAAATCGGGGCTCTGGCCTGTTATGGTAGTTTACACGGATTTCTGCTTAATCCATTTATAAACTGTTGGTTATACTCGGGAACATCCTGCTTTTGAAATGCACTTAAACTAGCCGTTTTCTCAGGACAACCTTTCCAAAGCTTATAAAACTGTTCACGTTCAGGGTTGGACTAAGCTTGAAACTGGCTTCTTCTCAGGCAACCAATTCACTTCTGTTTCTTTCGATTCTTCAGCTTTCTTAGCAGCCCAATATTGTTTGGCTTCTTCTTTCTTCTTATTATGTTCTGCCACTTCAAGACTCCACGCAAATGTACTAGGAAGAGTCTTTTCTTGATTCTCTTGCTGTTTTCGTACACTCTCGGCAAACTGATTCATTCATTCCTTGACAGGCATGAACATCCTGACCTCCTTCTTTTTTTTTTCACACACTCTGCAAACTACCTTACATCCTCTGAAGTGCTTTTAGGAACATTGATGGAGTTGGGTGGTCTTGGTTTTTAGACACGTTGCTGATTGGACGCAGCAAATTTCAGGAGCCATTCTGGCACAGGATCCGATGGAAGTGGATATAGGGCTGTGTGAATGCATTGGAAATATTTACATGGCGGGGCTCGTTGTGTTTCCGGATTACGATCGTAGGGAACCTCACAGGTCAGGAATACTTTGTTCATGTTTCGTGCTGTTTTACTGATTCGCATCTTAGGAATATAGTGACAATGATATTACAAGTGTCGTTAATTGGCGTGGACTTCAGGATGAATCTCTTCTTTCAAAGCATGATACACTTTATTTTTATCTTCAGGTTTGCCATAAAACCTTGGACAAGGGTTGGATTTGTAGTCCTCCATTAACAGAAACGTAGTGATTAAGGGTTCATTGGGCTCAAAGCACCCTGCTTTCAACATCTCAAGATCTCTGTGGAAGTTCATGATGATACAAATTATTTCTGACTCACTGATTAAGTTTGTTTTTAAAGAAAACATTGACGTCATTCATTGACGTCATGGATTCCCCTGTGTGTTGGGCATGTTGAGACAGACATCATGAGATCGCATAGAATCAAACAACAACATTTTATTCAAAAAACATTTACGGTTTTTACAACACTCTAGGGAAACATAAATCCTCCCACAATGTTCTCTTACGCGATTTTCTGACGCTTGACTTTTGATTGCTCTTTCACCATATCACACAGTCGTTTTTTCAACGCTGAGCGGGTGGCTGACTTAGGGATACAGGTAGGCTTTTGAGTTTCATGAATCCACTGGAAATACTTGCAAGGGCTTCCACTTTTGTCACAGCATAAGAAGACTTTATCCATGTTTCTGTGTGTTTTGCTCGGTTTAGTTCTAGGAACAACACCACAGAAACTCTACAAGGTTCCCCATTTGTCCATTAGTTTAGGATGAATGTTGGTACAAAGAGCTTGAAGGACGAGTTGTTTGTTGTCATAACTTCCAAAGTAGACAGGGCACGTGTTGCCTGTCTTGTTCACTTGAATAAACTTGGTATGGAGAGATTTGGTCTCTTCTAAGAGGTGCTCGTCCAATTCCAGGGTCTCAGGATCAGGCTGGGTTTCCATGGAGCTGGGTCCATTGAACATTCGTCCACAGTCATCTCTTCATACGAGGGAAAAATGGGTCCTAGCTGAATGAGACCGTACATAACTAATACGGAGGGATTTTTAGCTTCCTTTTGTCCCATGGCTAGAATTTCCTCTTTGGAATACGGTCGGTCTTCCCGTTCTTTCTCACCTTCCAACACCTTCTCCAACCTAACTTTCCACATGTCACTCTCTGATGGTTTCTGTCCAAAGGGTATCTCCTCCTTGGGTTTTATTCGTTTCAGCTGCTCATGGGTTTCTTGTGCCTGAGATTCTCGAAGGTTTTTAAGCACGTCTACTCCTGTATTGGGAGCCTCTTGTGTCCTTTTAGTTTTCTTGCGCTTGTTTTTCCCTTTTTGTTCTTCCACTTTTTTGGGACTCAGTGGTTGCAATCCCCAACATTGACTGTAATCAGGAATTGGTCTCTCCTCATATAATTTTTTAGTCAAGGCCTCTATATTAACTTGCTGTTCAGGATTCAGTCGTTGCTCCAATTTCTAAATCTTCACCTCGGCTTTCTGAAACTTCTCAACCGTCCACGATCCATCTTGGGGCAATCCAAAGATATTGTCCAAAGCATTACTGAATTCAGCAGAAGGAGGCACGGTGATTTCAGCAGTAGGATCTACCATCTTGATTCGTTTCAACTGCTCAACTGTTGGTTCTTGATTGTAACGAACAGGGAATAAATCGCTCATGTTTATACTTGTTTGGTCTGATTTGCATTGACGTCAATCTGATAACGTCCGTCCTTGGGAAATTGGACATGTTTGGGCAATAACGTCAATTGGGATCATGACCTAGCTGTATACGTGAGCGAGTTCTTTTTCAATCATGGACACTAGCGATGCTTTTGCTTTCTTTCATGGATTTGAGTTACCTTACAATTGTTTTGATTATCGTGAAATTGGTTTATGCACTATGAACAGAACAGATCATTGCTTATTAGAATATGCGTGTGGGCCTAGGCATCAATGCTTATTCCTAAGAAGTCGAAAAGAGCATAGAGGATTAAACACATTCCGTGCACCGGTTAGCTTATGAAGGACATTCAATTCGTGAACATAATTTTATTGACAAGAATGTTTTTCTTTGGTTTCGCAAATTCACCTCATCAACGCGCCCAGCTGTGGGTCTCTATGGAGTAAAACCTCTCACTAAACTGTTTCGCGACTACAAGATTCCAACCGTGAATTTACAACACTATGGTTTAACAGATTTGATAAATCATCCCATTGCAAATGTAAATGTGATGGCCCCAGGCAATTATCAAAACTGGGGTGATAAACATTGGCATGGTCAAAGGGGTGTATGGCATGACTGTTGTGCACGACTCATGGCCTGTAGAATGAGTGGTTGGGTACGCATATCGTTAAAAGTGAATCCCACTGTCGCTGAAGTCAATGCACCACGTGTTTTATGGCAACGACGGTGTGATGAATTACTCGATATGATCTTATGTGATTGTTGCATTGAGGAAAAGGAGGGGAAGGTTTAGAATGGATCCCTGACAATTGCTCTCAATGTAAAAATATATCAAATACATCAAATATCAAATTCAAATATATCAAATATATTTTTCAACAAGATGTCATAGATAGCAGATGGATGGAGTATCAAGACTATGCAGATGAGTTACTGTAATGGATTTGGCGATGGACCCCACTGACACGTCACGTGGTTATAAAACAAGATCACTCCTTTCGTTCAAAGTTAAAATGACAGACTCACTGTGACTAAAGGTTGTCAAAGACTTGTTCGAGCTTTGTCCAGACTTCATTGAGAAACTACACCAAACAGAAGTGACTTGTCAAGCCCTACGAAAAAAAACAACAAACTCCTAACCAAGAGGAAGGTTACGATACGGTTTATTAACATAGAACAGCTTTTTAAGCAAGCGAAACCGTAATTACTGATTACCATTTATCTTTCAATCAACTCCATTACAAACTGTATCGTCTGAACCAAGACATTTATGAAAATCTAACGCGAAAAGCCATGATGTGTACACATTGTGGAAAAGACCAAGAGGAAAGTTACCAGGTAGAGTCATTTGTTTGACTTTGGAATCCAATTATGTGAACAATGACATGCCCAGTCTTGCCCAATGGCGTCATTTCTATTATAAAGACACATTGAACTGATTCTCTTATTCACTCGTCTTGCTGCTCACGATGCTGCATCTTCAACCCTTTACGACTGTTACTGGAGGTGCTTTAGGCGTGGATTTAGAAGCAGAAAAATTAGCTAGAGATCATGGATTAGCTGTAGACATTCTTATTCCTCCTTGTCACCCGATAAGCAAGTCACTTCGACCCTTAAGCCGTGCCGAACTCGCTGAAGCTATTCGAGCTACACTCAAAGCAGCTTTTTGTCTCAACAAAGAGCTAGAAAGTCTCATCAGTGTGCAATACGTTCATCGCAACTATCATGTCGTCAAGAAATCAGATTTGACTTTGGCGTTAGGCCGTTTTCAAGCGACGAGTAATATGATTCATGGTAGAACCGTTTGGGCCGTCGAGTTTGCTAAACTGATGAAAAAGATTCTCTATGTCTACGATCAGATATATATGTGGTTCTGGTACCGTCATGACCAAGATTTGTTTTGTTCCTCTGATCAAGTGTCGGAGGATCAATTTGCTTTGCCAACCTTTCCACCAAGAACTGCCATCATAGGTATAAACCACTATGTGAGTCTACGATACAGTCCAGTGTCTTTAAGTTCATTTAACTCTATAGTGCAGTTCTGAGAGATAAATAAACTAGCTCCGCAAGCAAGTGCGAACTACAGTTACCAGCTCTTCTCTTTTGATTAGCTTTCATACACCAACGCAGCCGTTAGGAAAACACCCCACATGTAAAATAACGATACTAACAACGTAGTGTTACTTGCATGTGCACACAAATATCTGGCCAACTTCAGAAGCGTGGGAAATTGAGTTTTAGAGTCATAACAGTGTAAGTTTTTTTACCTCCTCAGATAACCTGAACAACTCAGCTCAACTCGAACTGATCTCGAACAACTTCCGGCCTCACTTCGGAAACAAACTGCAAAGTTTAAGACATTCTTCAGCGTCGCAAATCCTTTAATACTTTGCGCTTCGCTTCAAATATTTATTGTAGCCGAAAGAACTAGAAGTGATCTAGCGATATCACCAATTGATTCCGGTGTCACCAAGTCAAATACCAAAAACAAGCCGAAAAGTTACAAACCTGCGTGTCAAATCTTTTTCCGTACCTCGTGCTTAACTTATGGATATTTTTCACACCTCAAATTACCCTGCGTCGCAGTGGTGCAATCGGCAAATCCCTCAATTATAAGGGGCGTTCGATTGGGAAATCTGGATTTAGATTTTATAATCCGGATTTCGGATTTGCAATCGAACGCCAAATCGGAAAAAGGACTTCAACGCTGAGATATCTGTTTTTGGATTTCTTGGAGGTGAAGTCTGTTTTTGGATTTTACGTTCGATTGCAAAATCGGAAATCCGGATATCAAAATCCAAATGCGAATTTCCCAGTGGAACGCAACCTTAGAGTCTCATCTGATCTGACAGGTCACACGTAGGCCGGTTCAAACCCTGGGCAAGCCAGAAATAATAATTATTATTTAATTAATAATTATTATTATTTTTGCAATAAAAATTGTTTAAAAGGGATAGGCGAAAATGATGTACAACACAAAAACTGGAAAGGAAAAATACTAAAGAGATGGATTACAATAATTCGTCACGGCGGCTTAGGCCATGAGGTTTAAGGGTCATGGCCTTATCTATCAAATGCGACTCCCTGGCCTTACGAACTGAGTCACGTGGAGAATGAATTTTCTCTAGTGGGATTAACTGCATGTCAGTATGAGAATGGTTAGAGTGAGAGAGAAGGTGTTCTGAAACAGTAGTGGGTTTACGTTTAGAAATAATAATTATTTCTTCTTTATTTCTTCCAGAAGTAATAATTATTTCTTCCTCATGATTATTTCTTTCCGCGCATAGGAAATAACTCGAAGATATCTCGAACTAATTCCGAAGCAACTAAACATTCTTGAGCGTCGCGAATCCTTTACTTCGCGCTTCGCGAAAGTACGCGCTCCAGTCTAAAGACTCATGTTATCTTTCGAAAAACAAGCTGGAGTTTATCATTTCTTAAGGAGAAATCTTGACTGAGTCACAATGCAATTCAGAATTTTACCTGCGTTTTCATAATTTTTGTGAAATTTATTTCCTAGGGCTTTCGTGAGAAATAGTCTTTGGTGTTATTACAGATAACTAATCATATCTTTAGCCCTTGAAAAATGTTTAAAAGAACGCGATGTTGTTTACATTATTCCGGTTTAAGGTTTTTGTCCACTGAAAATTAAGATTACTCAATTTGCTGATGGATTCTGTCTTAACATCCTGCTAAAATCACCCCGGGAAAACACTAATGAGCTGGGCCCAGCGTGACTAGCCCAGACTCGTACCCAGTCGCTAGTTTTGTGTTTTTGGGGTGAGAGAAGATTGGGGGTTATGTTAAGGCGCGCGGGGACTGATGGGAAGGTACGAAGGAAAAATAGCGACTGGCGGTTCGTTTCAATATGGCGGCTCAGAAGGAAAGCTCATTGTCACGCGGTGTAAGTAATGCTCTAAATGAGGAGAAATAAACTTGCCAACACGGCAGTTGTACTGCAAAAAATATGTTCGGAGCAACTTCAGAGTACCTGGCCGCAAATTTTCGTGTTGAGTTTAGCGATAATTATCGTCTATACTATATACCTGAATCGCACGACCTGGCGAAGGACATCGCGAGAACCGCAAGAAGTTGAAAGGGAAATCAGGCAATAAGAAAGAAAAGAAACAAAATAAAACTACAGTAACTAAAAAGAAGACTAAACGTAAAGAAAAAGAAAGAAGAGAAGAAAAAAACGGGCTTTGCCCGGAAACAAACTCGGGACCTTTTGCACGCCAGGCCATTTCGTTACTACTACGCCACGGAAACTCATTGTAAAAGTAGCTGATAATATTTTATTAAAAGCCTTTTACGTAGAACTTCCGCCAGCGCGGCCTATGCAAAGTTGATTGAGCCATATTAAACACGAATTCAGAGATACTTTTCAGAAGCATGACTGCCGTTTTGATAATGGCAAACTAACGTAAACGCATTTCATCGCATTTAAAGAACAGATGCCCAACTATAAGCCGATACGGTATAAACTCGTCTGCGAGCAAAACGTAATTTCTTACCTCGATTTTCGCTCATATCTTAAAGCTAATTATCCAAAATCGTTTTCGTTTGCTCTTACAAGTACTTTTGCATTTGAAATTCAATTGCAAAAAGTACTTACCGACTCCTAAAACGACCCAGAAAAAACAAGCACTTTGATCATTGATATGACCAACTAGTGTTTCGATAATTGCCTAACGCTTAATCCAGATAAGACAAAACTGATGGTTTTTGGTAGCCAATGAATGTCTTCTAAATTACTGGACTTTAAATTACCTACTAGGAAAAGGCATCAACCCGGCTCAATCAGTCAAAGACCTTGTAGTAATGTTTGATCCCACACTATCTTTTGATAATCATACTTCTACTACAGTGTCGTCTTGCATGTCGAAACTATCTCAAATAACTGATAAGGTGATACTCGGTAAAGAAATATCAAAAAGTGTCAAAGGTTTTCAAAACACACAAACGTTTCGGGTTTATGACTCTTTTTCATTGTGAGAAAAAACCGTCGTACAGTACTGCGCAATATCATAGACATCATGAAAATGATCAAAGCACGCGCGCGTGTAATAGCTCGCACAGGATGTATATAATGTCCCAAGTCAAATAAATTTGAAATTGTTATTCAGTCCTTTCAGCTGAAGGGTGCCTAGGTGGAAAATCAACCGCATCTCACGTTGCTTTTGGCGAATGTTAGTCTCACTGCATAATGCCACACCACGCACCTGGACATCAGAAGTACTGTGGCCAGTGGAGTTGAAATCTTGGGCAATAACCAAGATTCTTGTCTTGTCTATTGCATATCCTGCCACCGATGCCCACTTCTTTACTTTGGTGAAACTAGAAGAAACCTCAGGAGTCGCTTCAGCGAACATCTGCGACGTATAAGCAACAACACTCTTGGGTTTCCTGTGGCCCAAAGGGAAGGTACTTCATATATGATTATCATTATGTACCTAAACATACCTAATATACTTTATTATATATCATCATTATTATTATACATCTAAACATACCTATACACCCATGCACATACACACCCATGCACTCCCTCCATACACCTCTTAAGACCTATTTAACACCATGCACCCCTAAGCATAATCATACACCCGTGCACCCATGTATAACACCATGCACCCCTACACATCACCAAACACCCATGTAAATCACCATGCACTCCTATACATAAGCGTACACCCACGTATAACACCATGCACCCCTACACATCACCATACACCGATGCAAATCACCATGCACTCCTATACACAAGCGTACACCCATGTATAACACCATGCACCCCTAGACATAGCCATACACCTCTACATCACCATACACCTCAATACTTCAACATACACCTACGTAGATCACCATACACCCCTTGACAGCACCATGCACCTCAATACAAGACCAACAACAACAACAACAACATAAGCTTTATTTGCATGACTATAATTATGTAGTTACAGTATTGCAAAAGCTTTAATCATGTTTAAATAAGCTGTAAAATTGTAGTTTCTTAGAATGATGGATTGTATGTTGCCAATATGCAATTTTTGTTTTATTATATCTATATAGTGTTTGATCTTAGCTTCACTTAAATTATTAGGATCAAAATCAGGGAGGTCATAATATTCAGATATTTTCATAAGATTATGGTAAAAGCTATTTTTCCCATTACAGTGAAGTTGTAGCGAAGTACAAAAGGCTTGTTTAACAATAGTATCCTCGTTTTTACGCAGAAGATACAATATATAATAAAGGATGTTTTTATAAATATTAATAATTAATGGCAACCGTCCTAATTCACTTCTACTTGCAACATTTGAAGCTTTATTGCTTATTTCTAGGTAACGTTTGCAAAATTATACCAATATACACCAATATACAACACCATACAACCCTATACATCACCATCAGCACCCATTTGAAACACCACACACCCTAATACATCACTATATACCAAGAACGAGAAGTCCAAAGACTACTGCAAAGCTGATTTAAAAAACATGTCTTGTTTTTTTATAACAATATTTCGGCTGGCCATACCAGCCTTCTTCAGGTTTACAGATGATACTGAACTTATGTAACAGTCACAATATTACATAGATGGAGAATGTCACAATAAAAATTGTTTAAAAGGGAGAGTCGGAAATGATGTACAACACAAAAACTGGAAAGGAAAATTACTAAAGAGATGGATTACAATAATTCGTCACGGCGGCTTAGGCCATGAGGTTTAAGGGTCATGGCCTTATCTATCAAATGCGACTCCCTGGCCTTACGAACTGAGTCACGTGGAGAATGAATTTTCTCTAGTGGGATTAACTGCATGTCAGTATGAGAATGGTTAGAGTGAGAGGGAAAGTGTTCAGAAACAGTAGTGGGTTTACATTTAATGTTAGTTTTGTCGACTACA